TATAAACCACGGCTCGTGCTGCAACTCGCGCGATAATCGTTCGTGGAAACGGCACGCGATAAATGTAGATACCCGCTCGTACGTAGCTTACGAAAAACTCGGCGGCTAACTTTTTATAGGTCGTGTGTCGTGTTTCTTTCGCCTTCTTGCATAAGCAAATTTTGTTCTTCCTGTTGTCGCGAGTTCTTATGAGAAGGCTACCGGGACTGTGCACCGATCTTTAATCCGCTTACGTATTACCGCAGTGACGACACGAGTCGAATGAAAAAATATGATTCGAATTGAAAGAAAAATCTATTAGGTTTCTTTTGTACTTGGCGACATCGTTATTTTTAGAGTAGAAAACCTATTCTCTCGGTCTCGTTTAAACGTTTGATATTTGGCCGATAAACGAGCTATGCATAATTTAAATGACTACTACATCTTGTCTGGAGCGGAAGGTTGTATTAAATCGATAGTAAGCGTTTCCATTCGTTTCACCCGCTATACAGCAAGAAGCCGCGGCTACATTGTACTTCTCGATCCGAATCTAACAATGTACCATAATTTGCATTCAACACATTATGAAATAAATGAGGCTATCTCATCTGCATAATAGGCGAGAATTGTGACAACTACCGATTGCTGTCACGAAATCGGTGATAAATCGCTCGTCTTAATCGAATCATTCGCGAAATAGTTTCTCCGTCTCATTATCTCCTCGCGAACGACTGGACAAACGGGCACGATTCGCCGACGGCGAAGAATCACAATGTCGAACCGCTTTCTCTCTCTCTCTCTCTCTCACATTGTCCCGATCTGGCTCACGTGCCACGTGCATCTACCTTTCGCAGCCGCGGTAAACAAACCACGCGGACGCAGTTTCCGATGTTCCGCGCGCGTCGAAAGCGACGAGCAAACGCGTAAGTTCCGTAAGAAACGAAGGATCGCGAGATGAGGATCATCCTCCATCCCGAGACTTTTTACGAGTCTTTTCTCTCTTTCTCTTGGTCGTCCCGTGCGACGCCACGTCGCGACGCCGTCGCGCGCGCGAGCAAAGAAAAAGAGTGACGTCATGCCGGGCTAGTCCGTTGGGCTAGGTCGTGACACTCCTTGCATCCCGCCTTCTCCACCGTCGCAACCTCCTCCGTCTCCTCCGCCGCCTTCTCGCGTTCTCCTGCCGCCTCAACCATCGACTTCTCTACCCGTCCTCCTCCTACGAACGGCGCGCGACTCCCGTTCACCCTCGCGCCCCGTCGCTCCACTCCGCGCCGCGCTGCGCCGAAAAAAGCAAGGCTCGCAAAAGGACGCCCGGCGTCGTGGCGCTCTTTGGCTGATCAATACCCGCCGCCTCGTACGCGGACGGACGGTCACGCATGTGCACGGTGTGGGCCGCTCTCTTTCTCTTTCTTTTCCCTTTTCCGTTTCGGTACCGCTTTGCTGCTCTCCTCCGCGCGCCTTCGCCGCCGACATCCATCCCTCTCTTTTATCCATCTGTCCCCCCTTTCCTCGTCTTTCAAACGCGTCCCCTTTGCGCTTCTTCCCCGCGCCGTTACGCTCTCGTCTTTCCCGACTCTCCGTCTTCGTCTATCTTTCTCTCGCCCGCCGCGCGTCCCCTTTCTCTTGTTATCTCTTCGTCTTTCGCGCGCTCTCGATTTTTCTCCCGCTTCTTTCACCCGTCCCCCCGATTTTTCCTCTCCCTTATGCCCGTGTCTACTGTCCTTCTTCCGTTCGCCCACCACCACTCCGGCGAACTCTCTTTCAACCCCTTCCCCCCTTTGCCGTTCCATCTTCCTCCCTTTCGCCCCTCTCTACATACCCCCGTTGCCTCCGTAGAGACGGCCCGATTTTTTTCCTCCCGTTTCCTCGGCTCCAACATTTTTTACACCTTTTTTCTCTCCTCCCCCCCCTCCTCCTTCCTCATCTCCTTCCTCTTCACTCTTCTCCGACGACTGTCCGTGCGCCGCTCTCCCCCGCCGTCCGGAATATCGCCTCGAGCATCCGCTTCATCTCCCTCTCTCTCGTGTCGCACATACGCACATGGTCTTTCTCCCTCTCGCTCCGTCTATCCTCCGCCCTTTTCCTTCTCTCATTCGTCCACCTCTCGTTTCCCACCTCTCTTTCATTTTTCCCTGCCTTTCACCCTCGCCTCTGTCTCACTCTTTTGCCCCCCCCCCCTCCTCCCCCTCCTCCCCTCCTCCCTCCGCTTCTCTTCGACCCCTCCGGCTCCTATCTTTTTGATTTTTTTTTCACAGCTACCCGACCACCTACCGACGCCGCGCGTCGGCGTCCTTTTTCTATCGGGACGCTCTTCTCGACCATCGGCTCGACCACGTACTCGCGTACACACGTACGCTCGCAGCGCGCGCGAGAGGGAGAGACGGAGAGATGAAG